CAAGATAAATGGAGAAAAGATTGAAGTTGTCAAAGACCTTCATCAACACACTTGGAAGCAGCAGTCAAGAAATCAAACAACGTATTGCATTAGGCAGATCTGCTGCACAAGACCTCTTTAAAGTGTTCAAGAGCAATGATGTCAGTTTGAGGGCTAAGGTGCGCCTGACCCAAGCCATGGTATTTTTAGTAACCTCATATACATGTGAAAGTTAGACACTGAATAAAGAAGACTGTAGAAGAATTGACCTATCTGACTCATTACCGGCAGTGACTTGGGGTGGGGGTGGGCCAGGCTGCTGCAGATTCTCTGGGTCAGATACCCTAAGCTCTTCCTACCTCAACTGCGCCATTGTGTCCGTCTGAGAAAATATGAACATTTCTGGCCCAGACTACATCAGATGTTTGGTTACTTCTGCTCTCGATCAGGATTTTAGGGTTATGAGTACGTTTTGTGTTTTGTAGTATTCCATTGTGTGTATGTATGAAAGATTGTTTATCCAGTCTTCTGTTAACGGGCATTTCAACTGCCTTCATCTTTTTTATATGTCTCTTGTAGACAGAATATTGAAAGATCCTATTTTCTTACCCATTCTGGGAACAGGTTCCTGGGTGCTAGGGCCTTCAAGGGTCAGGAGTCAGGGGGCTGAGTGCTTTTGTCTCTACAGGTCAGAGGTTGGGCCGATTGGGTTTCTGAGGGTCAGAGGTAAGGGCACTGGATGATCTAGTGACCACCTTGCCCAGCCTCGGTTTATTCATGGGTGAAGATTTACATTGAAAACCCTGCACAGCCCCTGGCATTAAAATATGACTATTGATTAATAAAGGAGCTCTGGCAGAGTTGTTATGTGCTGTTATGTGCTGTGGAGTCGGTTCCGACTCACAGTGACAGGGTTTCCAAGGCTGTAAATCTTTACGGGAGCAGAACTCATTTTTCTCCCTTGGAACAGCTGGTAGTTTCGAACTGCTGACCTTGTGGTTCGCAGCCCGATTCGTAACCACTACACTACCAGAGCTCCTTAGAGTTGTTGTTGTTACCAGAGCTCCTTAGAGTAGTGGTTATGAATTGGGCTGTGAACCTCAAGGACAGCAGTTTGAAACTACCAACTGTTCCGTGGGAGAAAGATGAGACTTTCTGCTCTCGTAAAGATTTACAGCCTCGGAAACCCTGTACAGGGTCGCTATGAGTCGGAACCGACTCCACGGCACATAACCACCACCACCACCACCACTGACTGATTGGAATCCTGGTGTGGTGCTGCAAGATAATACACTGGACTGCAAGGTCAGTTTGAACCACAAGGTGGCGATTCAAATCCACCAGCTGCTCCTATGCAACCTATTTAAGGTCTTTATGGGTCAGAGTCGACTCAACGGGCACTTAACAACTGACTGATAATGTGAGTTATGATGTTGGACCTTGCAGTCAGAGGCCTTCATTCATTCCACCAATGTGTACTGAGCGCTTGCTACATGCTGGGCACTGTTCAGATGCTGTGACTATGTGGAAAACAAGAAAAGCAAAAATAAACCAAAAAAACCAATGCTTGCAGTAACTGCACAAATATTAGGCCTGGGTGGTATTTGCTGTGCCCCAGCACATCTGACCACACGAGGGCGCCATTTGACAGTAAGTAGTGAGACTCGTGAAACTGACATCCTCCACCTGTTTTCCACGTTTGAGTGTTGAAAAACAATTAATGTGATTCACCACATAAATAAAAGGGGGGAGGGGAATCCACATGCATCACATTGATGCAGAAAAAGCATTAGACAAAATCCAACACTGATTCCTGATCAAAACTCAGCAAAATAGGAATAGGAGGGAAATTCCTCAACATAATTAAGGACATATATACAAAACACCCTCGGAAACCCTGTACAGGGTCGCTATGGGTCGGACCCGACTCGATGGCACTCAACAACAACAACAACAACAATACAAAACCAACAGGCAACGTCACTCTCAATGGTGAGAAACTAAAGTCATACTTCTTGTGAGTAGGAGCCAGTCATGGATACCCTTTTATGCCCACTCCTATTCAATATTGTGCTGAAAGTCTTAGCCAGAGTTATAAAGCATGAAAGATAAATTAAAGGCATCCAAATTGGCAAAGAAATAAAACTCTATTTGCAGATGACATGATCCTATACATAGAAAACCCCAAAGACTCAGCAAGAACACTTCAACATCTCAACAAGAAGATAAACAATCTCATTAAAAATGGGCAGAGGACATGAACAGAGACTTCACTAAAGAAGACATTCAGGTGGCCAACAAACATATGAAAAAAATGCTCACGATCATTAACCATTGTTGTTGTTAAGTGCCATCGAGTTGGTTCCGACCCATTGTGACCCTGTATAGGGTTTCCGAGGAGTGGCTGGTGAGCTTGAAC